CTCTTCCTTCTCCTCCTCAGACTCCACCCTCAGCAGGCTTCATCCCTAAAATATCCTGGAATTTTCCAACCTGGAGTTGGCAACCCTATGTCCCCCCCAGCCTCTGCCTAGAGAAAGGGCAGTCTTTCTCTGCAGTGGGAACCAAAGCAGCTGTCATCATTCTCCTCTCCCCCTATGAGGTATGTTAAGGTGGAAAGTGTGTGAATGGTCCATAATCCCCCAGGCAGCTTTTAAAACATGATCCTGGGACCTACACACCACCAGACGTATGAGGTGTGGAATGGAGTGAAGTCCAATCAGCTTCCATATGCAAAAGACCTTGAAGGTTCCATATGCAACTGACATTCCAACTGCCTTGCGGGGAGGGGGGTGAGTTTGAGGTGTGGAATGCAGTGAAGTCCAATCAGCTTCCATATGCAAAAGACCTTGAAACGCTGGGCGGGACTGCACAAAGCAGCCAGTAAACCCAGCCAGCGTCTTCTGACTGACAGTTCAAGCGTCCATACACTAAAGGAGTGCATTTTAGAATTTTGGCACCCACTATTCAATTATATCTGAGAGATGAGCTGTTTTTTCTAAACTAAAACCTCAGTATTCAGGTTAAATTGCCGTGTTGGCACTTTGCAAAAAAATAAGTGGGTTTTGGGTTGCAGTTTGGGCACTCAGTCTCTAAAAGGTTCACCATTACTGGGCTAGGGTGTCATCAATATGCAGATGACACCCATCTCTATCTTTTGTTGGGCGGTCAGTCTGACTCTACCCCAGAAGACCTGAACCGGGCGTTACAGGACATGGCTGGATGGCTTAGGCTGAGTCGATTGAAATTGAATCTGACGAAGACGGAGGTCCTGTGCCTGAGTCGGAGCAGATCGGGGGTAGGGATCCCACTACCGGCTTTCGATGGGGCACCGTTGGTGCCAGCGCCGAGGGTTAGGAGTTTGGGAGTGCTCCCGGATGTCTCCTACGCCTTAACAATGGAGGCCCAGATAGCAGCCACTGCCAAGGCAGCCTTTTACCATCTCCGGCTGATCAGGCAGTTGGTTCCCTTCCTTGAACGCAATGATCTGGCAACAGTGATCCACGCTATGGTCACCTCAAGGCTGGACTACATGGGGCTCCCCTTGGCGCAACTCCGGAAGCTGCAGCTGGTGCAAAATGCGGCGGTTAGGCTACTGATGGGACTCCCTATATGCGAGCACATCCAGCCTGTACTCATTGTACTGGCTGCCAACAGCATACCAAATTCACTTCAAGGTGCTGGTTTTGACCTTTATGGTCAGGGACCTACCTACCTGAGGGACCACCTTTCCCCATATGTTCCCCAGAGAGGACCATGATCAGGGTCGCAAAATCACTCCCCCCCCCCGGCCCAAAGGATGCCAGACTGGTATTGACTAGGACCAGGGCGTTTTCCGTAGCAGCTCCAACCTATTGGAATGAGCTTCCAGAAGAGATCAGGGCCCTGTGGGACCACTCACAGTTCCGCAGGGCCATGAAAACGGAGCTCTTCCGTCAGGTATTCAGGTAAGGAGCTGCATATTGCCACCTATGCCCTGTGCCGAATTTACTGCCAGCCTGAGCCCGCCGAGAGTGGATGTACTGCTGACTGTATGTTTCTAAACGCACTTTACCATAGCTATATCACCATCAATATGTTAATGTTTTAATAATTTTATCCTGTATTTTATATTGATATTTATATTATTGTTTTCCTGTTGTTTCCTATGTAATCCGCCCTGAGCCTGCCTCGGCGGGGAGGGCGGGGTAAAAGTATAATAAATAAATAAATAATGACTATATGGTGCATCACATTCTGCAGCACATATATAAATTAAAAAACACAGTTTGGCTTGTAGAAAACTCACAGCATAAAACTAACGCATGAGTTTAGGATTGCACTTTAAAGCTGCAATCACATGCACAAATAGCCCCGCCACAGGCACGAATGTCGGGCAGATTTAAAGGGCACGATCAGACAACAGCATCTGGGAAGCACGCCGCAGCCGTCGGCAACCCGTTTTGCTCCGCTGCAGAAGCGGAGTTAAGAGACACTAGGGAAAGTCTGGTAGCAAATGGGTTGCTACGGGCCATGGACGGCCCCTGTCTGATCGCTCCAGCGCACTCTCATGGCGTCGGGATGGTCTGATCAGGCCATCAGAACTCCGTGCCATTGTTTTTCCCCCCTTCTCAGTATGTACATCATCACACATTCCATAGGGAGCCCTCAGTCCTGAGATGCGATTCATCGATTCCCCGTTTAAGCGAATCAGAAACAAACGGCAAAAAAAGCCCCCGCAGCTTCAAAGGACTGTGTGATCGCGCAACTGCAGGTCAAATTCCTCCAGAGGGAATAGCCTCGTTCCCCCCCCACCCGTTTATCTGCCGCATGTGACCGCAACCTTATACTTCTAAATTTCATAAATATATCAAATAGTAGAATTTATATGTTAAAGTTATAAATATAGCAGCAAAGTAAGTTTAGACTCAATAAGAAACTGTGTATTTCAATTTCTCCTAATAATTGCCCCTTTTTGGAGAAAAAGAAGGGGCACATTCTTTCTCTAAGGCTTCAAAATTTCCAGTTTTAGATGTGTAGGAGGAAGGCAAATCCACCATCACCCAAGAGGAAAGAAGCTGCATTGGATCAAACACACACCAGCAACTGCGTACACCTACTTTTGACTACCATGCAATTAAGGTATCTGGTTCTTTGTATTCAAGCTAACATTAAAGAAACCACTTTGTGATTATTAGTTGGGGCACAAGAAAACTAATGTTTCATAAAGCATGCTTCTTTATACACATATAAAGAACACCATCTTCATTTATTATTATACTACCAACAGAGAAAAGCTTTTTACCTGCTGCTCTGTACAATATTTTAGGTTCAAAGAATATACAAGGGTTTTTATCTTCTATGCATGATAGCAATAGTCCTTTGGCTTCAAGAGGACTTCTTGGAATAACAACCTGTAAACAAATAGGCCAAAATGTTATTCTAAAGAGTTTAAATGCAGAAAGTAACTTCCAGGACTTGAATCCTATACCTTTGCAGTGCTCATGCTTCTCTCTGGGTGCTGTGGAGCTCAGTCCTCTGGCCCTAAGCACTTCTGCTTGTGTTAAACCAATGCTTTTCAAGGAACTACAAAATGCCTAGCATGAGAACACACACCTCTGCAGACCCAGGACAGAAGCACTCCACAGCAAAAATACAGGATCCAAGCCAACGTCTGCCCCAGGGGCGGCATTCCAGCTCAGGAATAATACTGCCACTAGTGCAATGTGTCATAATCAGAAAATAAAAAATAAAAATATGTGCAGAGCCAATGACTCTGTACTCTATAATATATGAATACCTCCTGTTAATCAAAAGATTATAAGACAACTAAAGGCAAATTAAAACTTTCTAAATATTTATATTGTTTTCTGTTCAATGTAACTCTCAGGAACTAATTAGTTTATCGCAGTAGGGGCACTAGTCAGTGAATGGAGGCTAGCAGCACAGGGCAAGTCTGTTTTCTGAGGAGCTATATAAGATTCTGGGCTATCCTCACCTTGTATAAGGTAACCAAAATATATATACGTGAAATGTTTAGATGGAAGGTAAAAGTTAGCCTGACTGCTATTATTGGAATCATATTTTTCTTGATAAAATTAATCTGCATAATTGCCATACCTTTAGCCCTGGGCAATGAGCAAAAAAGGCTTCTGGGCTTTGAGAGTGATATAATGCACCATGACCCACACAACCCCAAGGTGCTCTTATTGTGAGACTTCCACAGTTGAAGAGATCTCCAGACCGATACCGATACTTTGCTGCCTCATTAACAATCTGAAAGAAGAAAAAACAAGTTTTAAACATGGTGCATTTACCATATACAGACATGATATTATACTTTTAGTTAATTCAGATTCTACTGCAAAAGATCAAGCTCCGTTAGGACAAATCTCAGACTCCTTTCTTTAAGTCAGATAAATTTAATATATTACCAAGACCTGATTGGATGAGCTGGGGATATAAGATCTGCTCTCCCAGATTCTTGGTGCAACACTAACTGAGGCTCAGTGGTCCAGGAGAGCAAACTGTAGTAGTCTATCAGAATGCACCAACTAGGTGGAAGGAGAGCTCCAGTTCTGGCCTATGTAACTAGTGTTGAGTGATTTTGACAGCCACATGTTTCCAGGCCTGAGCTCCTTGGGCCAGTTAGTTATTCTTTGGGGGATTCAACATCCACGCCAGAAGCTCCTTAACTGGTATCACTCACACTTCATTGTTTCCACAGTGGCCCTGGGGCCACCCCAACTTATTTGGTCAGCAAGGTAGGAGACCTAACAAAATGGATTACAGCAATGTACTGGGGGGGAGGTGTCCTTGGAAACAGTGCGGAGGCTTCAACTGTACAAAATGCTGCGGTCATATTAGTGGTGCTGGCCTCATAGAGCAAATCATGCCAATCCTGCAGACTTTCCCTGGTTTTTCTATTTGCTTCTGAATTCAGTTTAAGGTCTAAAGTCTGAAATCCAGACTGAAAGATTATTTTCTCCCATACGTTTCTACCTGACAATTAAGATCCGATAGACAGGTCCTTCCGTGTGCTGCATTTGCAGAAGTGAGGTGGATGGCTACAAGTAGCCTACTGATTAAATCTTCTGCCGCTAAGAGACCTGCCCTGTGCCTAGCCCTGTCAGTTTCAGGCACCAGTGTGTCTGAATTTTCATCTGAAATATTAACCTTTTATCCCAAAGTGAGAGGGTATATTCTGGTTGTAAATGTGCATTTTTCTTGTATATAATTGCAAGCTGCTTAGTGAGCCTAAAAAGACCTACTGTATGGAGTATGATTTTTTCACATCTTACAAAATTGTAAATCACTCAATTTACAGCACAATCCTAAAGGCAGGCCTGAATGAGCTTAGACTCGACTGACCCTTACTGCCGGCATGTCTCCAAGATACACTGGCATAAAAGCCAGTTACGGCAATGCAGGACCTCAGCACTGCTGTGCACAGCTGTGCACCAGGGCAACTCAGGTGCAGAGCTCTGCACCAGCACGCTCATGGATGGATCGGGGGCCTGGTCAGAGTTAGGTTACTGTCAGATCCCCAGTTAAAAGACTCTCCACAACACTTTTGGCAGTGATGCTTTATTAGAGATATGCTTACTTACAGGAACTGGTTCTTTGTCAGGACTGAGGAAAGTGAAATTCAGAGGTTATAGGTCCCACACCCCATGCATAGGTCAGCATTCGGCCACTAGCATTTCTCTGACAACCCTGACAGATATATGGTGTCTTATCTACTCCAGCCTAGCGAAAGAGTCTCCAAGGCCAGATCCCATGAGAACAGGCTGAGGGGTGCAACTTGAGGAATAATTATGGCTACTACAGGCAGGCACTCAACCCACACACACTCCTCTTAGGAATTCCCTCCCCCCTAAAGCATGGCAAGGTGAACAGTAAAGTAAAGCGAAGAGAAACGAAACTGAAACCTTGACAGCTACTCCCTAAGCCCTTTAAGTCTGGGAATACCCCCAAAGATGCAAAGTTGCACAAACAAACAAAAAAACACAGTACAACACATAGGCAGCCACAGAGCAGCGAAAAACAAATGCCCTGCTGCAGCCACACCCATGAGGCCCCAAGCAGCTCAGGTTACCTACTAAAGGTGCAACCGATCACCTCCCCTCCCCTGTGGTAGTTAAGCCCCCTCCCCAGAATCCAATTGTAGCCTCCGCAGCCACACCAAAAACCCAACCAGGCTGCTTCACAACTCATGTGTGGCATGGAACACTGTCTGATAGCTCCCAGCCATGTGGACTTAGAGCAAGAGCCAAGGCGCCTTCTTGGCAGAAAAAGCACGGAGAGGTCACTTAGCACTACTGGGCGACCAACTTCCATCAACACCCAACAGGGAGGGCAAAGTCCACATTCTGTGGCTGACATTGCTCAGTTCTGAACCCAAACAGGAACTCCATCTCTTCAGCAAAGACCCAGAGGTTGACCATACACTGACATACACTGACATACACTGACAGGAGATTGTTCCCCCAACCTCCCTCCCCCTTGTCCATAGCCGAGCCTGGCAGCCAGCAGGGGCATCAGGAGCCCCGGACTCCCACCAAAACCTTCGACTCTGTGCACAAAAGGGGTTTGGTGGGTGGTTAACCTATGGCAGTTATGATACACCAGCAGCTCCTCCCAGGGGGCAATGAGGGCAATGTGGGTGCAGTCCACAGCTCCTGTAAGTTGGCCAGCATGGCATCCATGAAGCTGCACAGACAGCAACTAGCCAAGGACTGGGAAACCTTGAGAACCTCTGGCATGATCCCTAGGAAGGATCCGGTGGCCAGGAAAACCAGGGAGAGCAGGACTTTCTGTAGGGCAGGGATGGCGCAGGGGTGATGTTGCCAGAGTCGCTGCCTTTTACTCTTGGGTAGCCACAATAGCAAGGGCACCCCACTTCTAATCTGACCCAGAGACCCACAAAACTCAGGCCAAGGAAGGCGGTGCCTTGCGGGGAGGGGGGTGAGTTTGAGGTGTGGAATGCAGTGAAGTCCAATCAGCTTCCATATGCAAAAGACCTTGAAGGTTCCATATGCAACTGACATTCCAACTGCCTTGCGGGGAGGGGGGTGAGTTTGAGGTGTGGAATGCAGTGAAGTCCAATCAGCTTCCATATGCAAAAGACCTTGAAGGTTCCATATGCAACTGACATTCCAACTGCCTTGCGGGGAGGGGGGTGAGTTTGAGGTGTGGAATGCAGTGAAGTCCAATCAGCTTCCATATGCAAAAGACCTTGAAGGTTCCATATGCAACTGACATTCCAACTGCCTTGCGGGGAGGGGGGTGAGTTTGAGGTGTGGAATGCAGTGAAGTCCAATCAGCTTCCATATGCAAAAGACCTTGAAGGTTCCATATGCAACTGACATTCCAACTGCCTTGCGGGGAGGGGGGTGAGTTTGAGGTGTGGAATGCAGTGAAGTCCAATCAGCTTCCATATGCAAAAGACCTTGAAGGTTCCATATGCAACTGACATTCCAACTGCCTTGCGGGGAGGGGGGTGAGTTTGAGGTGTGGAATGCAGTGAAGTCCAATCAGCTTCCATATGCAAAAGACCTTGAAGGTTCCATATGCAACTGACATTCCAACTGCCTTGCGGGGAGGGGGGTGAGTTTGAGGTGTGGAATGCAGTGAAGTCCAATCAGCTTCCATATGCAAAAGACCTTGAAGGTTCCATATGCAACTGACATTCCAACTGCCTTGCGGGGAGGGGGGTGAGTTTGAGGTGTGGAATGCAGTGAAGTCCAATCAGCTTCCATATGCAAAAGACCTTGAAGGTTCCATATGCAACTGACATTCCAACTGCCTTGCGGGGAGGGGGGTGAGTTTGAGGTGTGGAATGCAGTGAAGTCCAATCAGCTTCCATATGCAAAAGACCTTGAAGGTTCCATATGCAACTGACATTCCAACTGCCTTGCGGGGAGGGGGGTGAGTTTGAGGTGTGGAATGCAGTGAAGTCCAATCAGCTTCCATATGCAAAAGACCTTGAAGGTTCCATATGCAACTGACATTCCAACTGCCTTGCGGGGAGGGGGGTGAGTTTGAGGTGTGGAATGCAGTGAAGTCCAATCAGCTTCCATATGCAAAAGACCTTGAAGGTTCCATATGCAACTGACATTCCAACTGCCTTGCGGGGAGGGGGGTGAGTTTGAGGTGTGGAATGCAGTGAAGTCCAATCAGCTTCCATATGCAAAAGACCTTGAAGGTTCCATATGCAACTGACATTCCAACTGCCTTGCGGGGAGGGGGGTGAGTTTGAGGTGTGGAATGCAGTGAAGTCCAATCAGCTTCCATATGCAAAAGACCTTGAAGGTTCCATATGCAACTGACATTCCAACTGCCTTGCGGGGAGGGGGGTGAGTTTGAGGTGTGGAATGCAGTGAAGTCCAATCAGCTTCCATATGCAAAAGACCTTGAAGGTTCCATATGCAACTGACATTCCAACTGCCTTGCGGGGAGGGGGGTGAGTTTGAGGTGTGGAATGCAGTGAAGTCCAATCAGCTTCCATATGCAAAAGACCTTGAAGGTTCCATATGCAACTGACATTCCAACTGCCTTGCGGGGAGGGGGGTGAGTTTGAGGTGTGGAATGCAGTGAAGTCCAATCAGCTTCCATATGCAAAAGACCTTGAAGGTTCCATATGCAACTGACATTCCAACTGCCTTGCGGGGAGGGGGGTGAGTTTGAGGTGTGGAATGCAGTGAAGTCCAATCAGCTTCCATATGCAAAAGACCTTGAAACACTGGGCGGGACTGCACAAAGCAGCCAGTCAACCCAGCCAGCGTCTTCTGACTGACAGTTCAAGCGTCCATACACTAAAGGAGTGCATTTTAGAACTTTGGCACCCACTACTCAATTATATATAAGGAGAGATTGTGTGTGAGAGTGTTTGAATATTGTTTGTATGCTTGAGAATGTTTAGTAAAGAAATCATTATTTTAGCCACCCCGTTTCTGTGGCTTTTCCTGGGTTCTTGGGAATTCTAACTCTGGTATACACAGGTCACATCCTATAGATAAGCCAATTGCATATTAATAATTATAATTCCCCATCTTTATTAAATAATAGAGCAATTTGGCTAACAGTGGGACTTGGCCTGAGCTCCTCACACAGGGCCTGGATGGCTGCCCGTTCCAGTTGGAAATGATCTGGGCAGGTGCTGTCTGACAGATGAAGCTTGCTGATGCATGCCCGGTGTTGCCATGCACGGCACCTTCTCTGCTGTCACAGTGCCATCCAGACACAAAGCAGAGGCAGTAGGTGGATGTGTTGAATGCCTAGCAGAGGCAGGAGAGGCAAAAGGTGCACCATGCCAGGGCAGGCTGGCCGGGGCCTGCAGAGAGAGGGAGCTGTGTTCAGTCTGGTCAAAGGTGCTTGGACCCATGCGGTCCAACCACCCTCAAGCCGCACACACACCCATATACCGCCTGTACCATGGAGGGCTCTCCTGTGTGTGTGACCTGATTGCTGGTGCCCAGCGTGGGAGCAGGGGGAGGTCAGAAGTTCTGTGGCTTCCCATGGTGCCTCACATTCCCACATGCAGGTGGCATGGCTGCACCAACATCTGGCAGCAGCAAAGGCCACTGCCGGGACGAAGGGTGAGAAGGCATTGCTGTACAGGTTGGTCGTAGTCTGCCAGGACTAGCTCAGCCTCCTCACATCGCTGTACCTTGTGGCGCATGGCAGCAGAGCAGACATCTGCCTTGGAACTTGCCACCTGGACGGAGATATCCATCCTGAAACAATTCCTTTTGCCCTGCTCAGAAGCGCATCTGAGCCCTCATGACCAAAGGTGTCCCTTACAAACAAGCAGTGAGGAGGGTCTGCCTGGAGCTGAAGCCATCACACAGGTAGTGATACCACCTGTGGTAATGGGCTGCTGCTGCAACAAAGTGTTGTGTGGTGTGTCAAGAGGTTCTGTGAGCTCCCTAGCCCCTGAATGGGGGGGTCTCCCCCTGCAGCCCCCCCTTCCCACAACCCATAGATTTGCTAATTCCTTTCCTGTCTACTGCAGGCAAATCTCTGAGTGGGGAAGTCATCACGGTACCATCTCTGGAGGTGACTGAGGGGGGCACCAGAGCAGCCAGTAGCCATGCCCCCATCCTGGGGCCTAGGGAGGAAGGGACTCCACTGGCATGGCAGCTTCATCTCCCCTGCCAGGATGCTTCTCCAAAACTCCAGGGGCCAAGATCCCAGGCCAGCATCTTGCAGCAAGCCAGGAGGAGTTGGAGCTGAGTGACAGAGAGTAGAACCAGAGTACCCAGGCAGCCAAGGTGGGGGGCAACAGAGGTGAGGTGTCTGCGAGGGTGGGTGGTGACACCAAAACAAGTGGTGATGCATGCCCACATGGGTTGACACTCCACTATCTGCCCCCCACCCCAGGACCCTGACGTTTGCAACTGATATCGTGGACCACCTCTGCATCCTGACTCCACACAATGCACCTGTGGCTAGCATTGGGCATCTAGGAGTCCCTGGGACCAGCAGCTGATGGCAAGTCCATGCAGTGGGCAGACTCAACATCTCTGAATAGAAGTAGAGTTGGAGTGCCACAGACTGGGGAAGGTGGAGGAGCCAGAGGCAAGCCACACCCTTCAGAGCCAAGTGGAGTGCCGCTGGTGCCCTGACTGTTGCAGGGAATTCTGGCCCTTGCCTGGTTCACCCCATCATCCACGTGGGCAGCAATCAAGCAGGAGCAGCTGGAGAGCTGTGGAGAGTGGTGGGATGCCTTCTCAGGGCTCAGCAATGGATGAAATGTCTGGGAAAGTCTGTGACAGCGGCTGTTGATCACCTGGAGGGGCTACCTGATGTCAGCAGGGATGTAGAGGAAGGGACAGGTGCACATTGAGAAGCTGCTGAGGGAACTTTGGGAGGCACCTCCCCTTCCAGGCTTTGGGACCCTATGCTCCATGTGGACAGGGGGCTGGCACTGGGTGTCTGTGGAAAAGAATGCTCAAGCCCCTGCCACCACTGTCAGGTGCCCAGGGACTTGCAATGAGACTTGGACCCTTTTAGGGGGGTGGAAGGGTGCTGCTTACAGCAAGCAAGCAAGCCTCCCTGGCTCTGGCCCTCTCCACCCCCAGGCTATGATGGGCACCTGACTCAGCCCCTATGCCTGGAGACCCATTGGTTTTGCTGCCCTGTTTATCACAGCCCCACTATCTCAACACAACACCTCCAAGGAACGCAGCAACTCGGTTGCTGAGGATGCTAATGCAGTTGCAGCCACTGGAAGCAAAAAAAACCCAAAACCCAAAACCTTTTCCCCTGCTATCCACTGCACAATCAAACACTACGGGGAGTGGACTAGCTGGGCCATAATTACATCACAGCCAGCTGCCGTGGCACAAGCACACCTCAGGATTGCTCTACCCATACATGAATTCAAATTGTATACTGAAATATACTGATATTCAACTATTATTCCAACCTTTTTCACACATTTTAAGAGCTAAAAAGCAAGTGGCTCAATGACTCCATGGTTCACCACTATTTGTAATGCACAAACAAAAACATTTCCCACACAAAGCCTTCATCTGCATGGAAGAGATATGAATTTCTCCATTTTACTTATAAGTAATACAAAGCACACAAAAAAAATTCTGCAGATTATTTGTTTAAGTCCTATAATGTGCAAAATGCCTATGGACTTCAACTATACTGGCAATTCACCCCTCCTTATCCCATTTCTAACCATATTATCATTACTATTTTAAAAACCTGCTTGAAAACAATGAACCTCTATATAATCAACAAACTGTAATAAATACTAACCTGATCAAAGGCAGGATAAATGTAATCAGCAAACTGAATTTCTGCAATAGCTGTAGCCCCAGCAACTGCAACTCCAATGCCAAATCCTACAATTCCTTGTTCACATAAGGGTGTATTGAAAACTCTGTCTTTACCTAGAAAAAAAAGACCTTTTCCTAATTTTTTTTCAAAATACACACATATGGAAGTCCCAATGGCATATACCATCAATCAATCAAAACACCTTCAATGGCATAATAAAATACATACCGTGATAAAATATGAGCAAGAAGGTATTACAGAGACAACAATATCAGGCTGATCATACAGAGAACTTGTGTCTATATTTGACCGCTTCAGCCAAGAAAGCAACCAGAGCTGTGATGTCCAGGTTTGTGTCATTTAATAAACATTGTATTATTCTGTCTTTGTTAATACAATGTTTAGGGTATACTGAAGAGGAAAGGAGTTTCTTATGTGGACCTGCATGAAATTGGCAGTCCAAGATGATGTGATGGATTTTAAAGGACAGTTACATTTCCTTTCATGGAAAGGGACTTTGTTATACCGTGACATTACAATAATATAAGCAGCCCCTTATTTTTGTTATATAAGCAAAGAGGCACAAAGGTAACAATAGATTTATCACCAATAATTTACAGGTTACAAATGGTAGGTTGGAGTTATTGAATTTTTAAAAAAATTAAAGACATGGGAGTTTTCCACCCAAGGTTTTGAAATGTTATTTTACAAACCAAAAAAATGGAACAGTGAGATATGTAATACTCATAGTAAAAGAATCTGAACTTTGCTATTTTAAGGATTTGAAATCACAAGTATCTTAAGATAAGAACATAAGAGATGCCAATGTTGGATCAGGCCAAAGGCCCATCCAGTCCAACACTCTGTCACACAGTGGCCAAAAATACCAGGTGCCATCAGGAAGTCCACCAGTGGGGCCAGGACATTAGAAGCCCTCCCCATGTTGACCCCCCCCCCCAATATCACCAAGAAGACAGAGCATCACTTGCCCCAGAGTCCCTATCTATACCTTGTGGCTAATAGCCACTGATGGACCTCTGCTCCATATGCTTATCTAATTCCCTTTTGAAGCCGTCCATGCTTGTAGCTGCCATCACTTCCTGTGGCAGTGAATTCCATGTGTTAATCACTCTTTCTTAGTGCATGTGTTCACTTTAGTATATTACATATTACTAAGACACCTAAGATGCTTAACCATTAGATTTTAAAATTGGCAAACATGTAGTTTTGTTTTGCTTGCTGTCTACCATGATGACTGCTGTTCACCCAGACAACAGATAGATCAGTTTTATTCATTTCTACACAATTTGAAGAGTAAAAGATGCAAGACTACATAGCTTTTACTTCACAGTAAGTCCCATGAAAGGCCGAGGGGGGGGGGGGGGGGGGGGGGGATAGATTGGTCTGCACATAACTTAAATGAGGAAAACTCAAGAGAAAGAAGGGTTGACATGAGACTAGGGCCCAAACGGAAGGAACCCAGTCCTCTGGAGTACCCGATCTTGTTGCTGCTGCACCAGATGTAAAAGGGCTCCTTTCAGCAGCTGAATTGTTTTGTTTTCCAAAGCAGATCCTGGGAAATGATAATGAGCAACAAGACAAGAAATCTCTATATACATTATAACCTTGATGGTTTGACCAACTAATTGCCACCATACATGCACAAACACATGGTACTTTTAGTACTAACTGAAAAGATCATCCAAAAGAACTAAGTATAAAATAAACAGGGGGGGGGGTTAAGTACAGATCTGCAACAACATTCAAAAATGCTTCATGTACTGAACAGCAGGGAGGTCATGAGAGTCTTGATTATGACACCTCAGAGCAGTACCAGTCCAATATCTAATGGAAATCTTGGGATTTAATTCTGACTTAAAATATTTAGGATTGTACTGCAATTCAGAATCTTGACTCAGAAGGATTTAAATAAATCCATGAGTCTACTGAATATGTTTTTTTCTCTGGATAGCCTTTGTAATTATAGATACTGCTGGACTGATAACCTCACATTTCCTTCGGCTCCAGGTTTTTTTGTCTTCCTAATACATAAAATGTATCCAAACCATGAAGTGTGCATGCACACAAAAGCTTTTATCCAGAATTGAATTTTGATGGTCTTAAAAGTGCCCCTGGACTCAAACTTTGTTCTGTTGCTTCAGACCATCACAGCTACCCACCTAAACCAATTACACAGGTGTAACTGACAACAGATCCTGCTTTAATGCAGGACAACAATCAACACTCTTCAGGTCCCTTCTTCTGAATCCTTCCTAATCCTCAACTACTGACAACAAGAATATTCTAAACCAAAATACCCCAGGGTGTAACCTGAACAATAAAGAAGTTCATTTTGGGTCAGTGCACACATATAAGGATAAAAACCATAAGATATTAACTCACCATATTTGTCTCTCAAGCCTACAGTGCACCTGAAGACGCCACCAAAAGCTACATCTTCACCAAATATTACTGCATATGTAAAACAGAGAAGAAAATAAATCTTCCCTCACTATTAACAATCAGTAAGAATCACCAATATGCGGATGACACCCAACTCTATCTGTTATTGGATGGCTGCCCGGCAGGGTTCCTTCTAGGCTGAGTTAGTGTGAGCCAGCTCACAGTTTTTAGCCTCCAGCTCACACATTTTTGTCTTTGCTCAGGAAGGGATGGGGCTCCAGAGCAAATTACTTTATGCAGGAGGCAAACTGCTCACTCAAAACTTTAATGCCAGGAGCTTGCAAAGTAGGATTTTTGCTCACACGACTCCATGGCTTAGAGGGAACATTGCTGCCCGGGACATTGGAAGCTGTGGCTGGTTGGTTGCAGCAGAGCTGTGAAACTTAATCCAACGAAGATGGGAGTTCTGTACTTGAGGCAGGGATCGGGCTACCCACCCTGGATGGTGCACCACTTGCACCGACCCAGAAGGTGAGGAGCCTGGGGGTGATCCTGAATGCCTCACTTTCTATGGAGGCCCAGGTCACCGCAATTGCCAGGTATGCCTTCTATCTTCAGCAGATCAGGCAATTGGCCCCTACCTCTCCCCCCCTGACTTGGCTGCAATGACCCAAGCAATGGTCACCTCCAGGTTTGATTACCTGCTTTACATGGGCTTGCCCTTGAGACAGATCCAGAAACTCCAGGTAGTGCAGAATGCAGCAGCACGCCTGCCGATGGCACCGCCTGTGTGGGCATGCATTCGGCCGGTATTGTGCCACTTGCACTGGCTACCAATTGAGTACCAGATCCGCTTCAAGGAGCTGGTATTAACCTTTAAAGCGTTACATGGCCTGGGACCGACATATCTGAAGGACCACCTATCTATATATGTGCCCCGAAGAGCCTTGCGCTCACTGGATCAATGCCTATTGGTTACCCCTGATCCAAAGGACATCCACCTGGCCTGGTAGAATCAGCTCCCACTGGAGATCAGGGCCTTGCAGGACCTTTTATTGTTCCACAGGGCCCATAAAACAGAGCTGTTCCGCCAGGCCTTTGGATGAGGCAGCGGGCATCCATCTCAGTTGGCCTCCATGCTCTAGTTTCCAATCTACTGAAGTACCCATTGATTCTACCTATCTGGCTCTAAGAGGTTTTTTATGCGATTGTTGCTACCTCTTAAATTTTACTGTTTTAATTATTTTAATGTAATGTAATTTTATTGCAACGAGTCTCCAATTCTGTTTTGTTGTGATCAACCCTAAGCCCACTTTGGGGAGGGTGGAATAAAAATCCGAAAAACAAATAAACGAAATAAATAAAAAATCAGCCAGCCTCTGCCATGCTATATCAGTGCCACCTCTAACAAAACTTAAGAACCAGCATTATCAGATGCCTACAATTATTAAGCAGGGGGGAAAGAACATCAGTTGTGCTTTGAAAAACTAACAAGTTCTAATATAGAAAGAGGCTTTTCACATAGAAGTTTCACACTGTTTAAGATTTATCATTTCTCTATTCAGTGGCACAGGAAAACAAACAAAAGGATCTCCATAGACATTAACATTCTAAGAGGGGAAAATGTAAGAATTTGTAAGAAGAGGAAATACGATTTCCCTCTTATCCACACAAACATTTACCCTTCCTGTCCATCAGTTCCAGGCTCAGCCCCTCACCAACATCAACTTCCTGACTCTTCCTACTGCCAGCTGTTTCAGTCAACACCACCTCTTCTTCCTGGCTACGGCCACTGTTTGTGTGTCATTTTAGTTTGCCATACCAAACCCAAACACCACCTGACCTCCAACACATTAACTTGGGACCGCTGCAAATACATAGGTATCATTAATAACTTGGAGCAGTTCCCCAAAATTAGCTTTTTACAGCAGTTTTGCAGAACCTTAATCGGCAACCACAGCTGAACATCATTGCACAGTTTTGACCCTCCACATGGGGACAGTCCCTGGCTATTAGATGTAGGGATACTATACCTGCAGTTGGATCTTTGGACAAGGCATTATCCAAGGCACTTGTTATAGACTGGAAAAGATTCATTTTTTGTGTCTGGCCTGTACAAAGAAATCATTTAGTGAAACACAAATACTATTATTTACAATATTGACCATTAGCCAACACAGATAGCATTGTCTACTTAGAAATATTCAAAGTTCACAATGACCCAACAGAACATTAAAAAAACACCCCCTTAGCTATTCTTATAATACTTTAAAGTCATACAGATGCATCACCACATAACCACGATGCATATGCTGCTCTGACTGAATGTTATATGGAGCTATGCAGCACTGACTCAAAGACCCAATCATGCCTTCAGGAATTCATATGTAAATATGATGAAAAAATGTTTCCATAAAAGGCTTCTTTGATCATGTTGCACAGGCAGATAGATGTCATTAGAGAAGTACAAAAATAACATTACTAGTATGTATAATATACCCACAATATGCATGTATGAGGTCATGGTGACTTAGAAGTTAAGACACTGAGCTGCAGACCAGAAGGTCTGTAATTCAGTAGTTTGAGACCCGAATGCTGTGTGACAGAGTGAGCTCCCATCTCTGGCCCCAGCTCCTGCCAACCTAGCAGTTTGAAAGCAAGAAATTGCAAGTAGATAAATAGGTACCACTTTGGTGGGAAGGTAACAGTGTTCCATGCGCCTCTGCATTTAGTCATGCCGGCCAAATGACCACAGAAATTTCTTCGGACAGCGCTGGCTCTTCAGCTTGGAAACAGAGATGAGCACCGCCCCCTAGAGTCGGATTAGACTAGCTTTCGAGCAAGGGAAATCTTTACCTTTACTTTTATGAAGCAAGGACCAATTTTTTAACTATCATTCTCACTTTTTTTTTGTTTTTCAGTATAATCTCTCATTTCCCAGCATCAAATCATCATGGAAAACACATTTTATGTAAGAAATTCTAACTCCATGCTGATCACCACCCACCCTACGAATCCCCTTTCTTGAAAGAAAGCCTTACTAAGCCCAATAAAACGCTCAAGATCGGAAAACACAAGCAGGGGAGCTACTAGGATTAACAGCAAGAAGAAAAAATTGTAGGTGCCCGTGACCAGGTGCAACTTTTTCACACACTGATGAGCCACCTGGAGAATAGCTTTCTGTGACACTGTGCAGTTCCACGCCATTTGCGGGTCAATCTCGCACTTAAAAAAAAAGAAAGAAAAAGCTCTCTCCCTTATTTTAACACCAGCGCGGACCCGAGCAAAGGAGGGCCGACGCGCTCACCATGCTGGGTAGGCTCTTGGTCTGGCTGGAAAGTGAAATGTGCCGCGGGCCTGCAAAGTAGGAACTCCGCATTAAAACACGGCGACCACCTCGGCCTGCTTAGCCCACCAACGGCCGGCAACACAGCTCGACGCGCCGCAAGCCCAAGCAGCGCCATGTCGGCGGTCAAAACGCAAACACGCCGAGCGCCACTGCGCGAGGTCGTTGCAAGGAGGCGTGGACCTCGTCAGGCATTCTCATTGGCGGCGGCACCAGAAAGGAGCGGGCCAATCAGAAGCTGCTCTACTAAGGTGAAGTGGTGGTGAAAGATGGGCTGCTAGCGGCTTGGGAAGAAGGGTTTTCTACTCATGGGTGGTAGGTGGGACTTAGTTGAAACATTAGGTGGCGCGCGCAGGCGGGGTTAGAACGCGATACACTTCTAGTTTGTTTGCTGGTTCACCGGTTTACAGTGTGAGGCAGGGTTCGCAAAGCACTGCGCGACTGCATGAAAGTGCAGAAGTCCACGGCAAGTCCACGGTAAAACTCATTTTCAGTTGAGAGGTGGATTTGGGTGGAGGTTATTGTCAAGCATCGCCATGCCATGTTACAACATGATGTCTTTTATGTATTTGGTATTTCCGCCCCTGAAAAATCCAAAGTGGCCACAGGCAGAAGGCAAGTGGAGGCAGAAAGTGTTTAATTCCTACTGCAACGTTTAGTTTACCACACTGGATTGTGCCACGGAAGTACGTCTAAAGTATATATATTTTTACTTCATTTAAAAACAATACTGGGCTACAATGCAAGGTTGTAAGTTTGCATCAGCCACATCTCTAACCTGCAGTAAATAAGTACACTGAAGTACATTGCAAGGGTGTGGTAATAAATTACTTTCACAGTGTTCCTGGCACTACCATGCATTGGCAACACCTTTTTAAATGGGGGGGGGGGTATAACACAGACAGAATAATAATATATTTAGAATCAATCCTGGACTTCATTTTTTTTATGAGCAGTTGATACTTTTGGCACACAGGTGAGTGTGTGCATGGTTGAAGAGATAAGCATCGCATTTAAATCAGGCCATAGTTGTAGAACACTGAAGTTTCCATTTCAAGGGAACATATTTCCATGTATCCATTCCGGATGTATAAATCACCAGCTGAATATAATATTCGTAATAAACTGATGGTATTGCAAATTTCTGGTAATACTATCTGATGCTGATGTTGTTCAATCACACAGTCGAGTCCAACTCTTTGCAACCCCATGGACCACATCAGCCAGCATGCAATTAATTAGGGGAATATAAAGAGTCAATTGGTTAAAAGCTTCCTTCAGGGAGGGAGGGGAATGGTACCGTGTCAGAGTACATGGCCTGCAGGCAACACCAATGCAGATGGACCAACCATGTAACTCATCACAAGCTAGCTCCCTATGCCCAAACCTGAGGCTCAAGAAATGATACCAAGACATGGGATCAGCTATACTCCCCCAGCACACAGCCCTAGGCAGTGTGTGCAATTGTTACTGACTCGGCAGGCCCGTAGCTACCGCGGGGCCCGCCCCCCATGGTTTTTACGGGCCCCTCTCCAATCCTTGGCTCACCCTCCCTCCCTCCCATCGCTGCCCTCAGCCCAACAGCCGGTGAGAGGAGGGCAGCAGTGCACCTGTGCACAAGGAGGGGCCCCGGGCGAGCCCTGCAGCCGCCACGCGCGCAATGTAGCCGGGGCTTCCAAGCGCCCCCGCTCGGAGATTGACTGGGGCAGCCGCTGAAGCCGCCGCGCCCACCCGCTCGCCCAGGTCCGGAGGAGACCAGGTTGTTCCCCCTTCCCTCCCCTCCCGCTTTCACTCGGTTGCAATGGAGGGAGCCAGCCTGGGCATGGCTCAGCAGCCTGGGGACAGCGGGTAGGCAGGACTCGGCGAGCGGCCGGGGAGCCTGCAGGCGCACCGGAGGAGCAACCAGCCAGCCGGCGAGCCCCATGCTGGCTGCCGCGGCAGGAGCAATGCTAGGGCGATTCTGCGTTTAACATTCCCTCCACATTTTCTCAACGGGGAGGTAAAAGTGCCGGAGGGAGGCCCTCTGGGGAGCCGCCTCCTGTCTGTCCATGTCAGTCCACCCCGAGAGGGGAGGTGGGGAAGCTCAGCAGGCCACTCCCCTGGTGGCCAGTCGCCCGGGGAGGCAGAGGGAGAACGCCCCGGCATGCCCGCAAGACCCGAGGGTTCATCTGCACTAAGAGGGCTCTCCCTGCTTTTGGCAGCAGTGCTCTCCTACCCCCTCAGTTGCAGACAGTTCCACCAATTGAATCAAACTTTTATTTAATTGGCTGGTGCCCTACCCCCCGCCCCCTACCCAAAAACTCCTTAGCTACTGGGCTGCTCAAGAGTCTTCTCCAGCACCATAATTCAAAAGCATCTATTCTTTAGCGCTCGGCCTTCCTTATGGTCCAACTCTCTCAGCCATACATTACTACTGGGAATACCATCGCTTTGACTATGCAGTCTTTTGTTGGCAGTATAATGTCTCTATTTTTTATTATGCTGTCAAAGTTTGCCATAGCTTTCCTCCCAAGGAGCAGGCGTCTTTTAATTTCATGGCTGCAGTCACCATCTGCAGTGATCTTGGATCCCAGGAACATGAATTCTGTCTTATTTATTTATTATGTATTTATTAGTTCAGTTTATACCCTCCCCTCCCCTCCAAAGCAGGCTCAGGGTGGCTTACAAATTCTGTCACTGCTTCCACGACTTCCCCTTCTATTTGCCAAGGAGTGATGGGGCCGGATGCCATGATCTTGGGGTTTTTGATGTTGAGTTTCAAGCCAACCTTTGCGCTCTCCTCTTTCACTTATAGCAAGAGGCTTTTTGGGTCTTCATCACTTTCTGCCATTAGAGTGGTATCATCTGCATATCTGAGGTTGTTGATGTTTTCCCCAGCAATCTTAATTCCAGTTTGTGATTCATCCACGCTAGCATTTTGCATGATGTACTCTGCATACAGGGTGGCAATATACATCCTTGCCATACAGCAGTCTCTCCTCCAGCCCTTGGCCCTCCCACTGGTTAGCAAGGTGTGACTTGGCACATCCTCCTTGGCTGACTGAAGTTTCACTTAATAAAGGGTTCCCAGGGGGCGGGTCCAATCCCATCCCCACTTTAAGGAACAGCTAATTCCTTCCCTTTCTCCATGGTCAATAATAGTTAGAACTTGCTTTCTTAGGCCTATTCTGCATGGATGTTTTCCCTTGCTTTCACCATGCATGTCCATCGGGTTTTCTTTGTCATTTATTTATTTATTTATTTTATACCCCACCCTTCCTACCAAGGCATTCTGCATTATTTTCTTCCCTTCAGCCCTCAGTTCACTTTCTGGGTTTTCTGAGTGTTTTTGTGCTTATTTTCCCCTTATTTCACTTCCAAGATGAAGGAAATTCCAAAGCATACACATTCCCTTGGATTCCCCCCCCCTTTTGCTGCCCTTTGGTCACTCCCCACCCATATTGAGGCCACTCCACCCACTCTGCACCTTCTGCCACCACCACCCTTCATCGATGTACAAGCTCCATTTCCCCTCATTTTTAAATTTTTAATTTTTTTGACAAGTAGCCTGGGTCTAGTGATCGCTAGTCTCGGATCACTAAATTAAAAAATTAAAACAATAGAGGGGGAAGTTGAAAAAGAGCTGTGTGAGGTTTATTTCCCTGCTGGTATTGACTTGAAAGGGGAATTGGAGAGGAGGCAAATGGCAGCATCTCCAGTGCAAAAAACAAAGGATTTCAGTGCTGCATGCAAACAAAATAAAGGGGGAGGATTGTCAACGAAGAATGAGAGAGAGACACTGGGATGGGAAGCCTAAAGCTTTGAAAACATTTTTCCCTTTCATTCTTTAGTGAACAAAGTTTGGGGGAGGAACCATTTTGGCAGTCTCTGGAAGCCTAACATTAAAATGGCGGCTGAGCCACATGGACCTTCTGCGAACCGCTGAACTTAAGAATCACTTGGGATCAATCCATTTAGAGGAAGAGTGCAATCCGCATAGGACAGGCTTTAAAAACTGCCAAGATCACAACCATTGTGCAGGATCAAATTACAGAATCACAAAGAGAAAACCAAGAAAATTTGCAAGAAAGGACAGGAAATTAGCATTACTGTGCAGCTGCACTAGGGCATTGGTGAAAATACCATTTTTTCCAATTTAGTGATACAAGACCCCCATATTTTCCCCCAATTTAGTGGCACAAGACTAAAAAATCTCTCTAGAGCTTCTGCCAGAGGTCTCCTCCCCCATACAAACTGCAGGCCTGTGCAAAGCATGGTGAAGTTGCAGCCAACTTTGCACAGGCACACACACACACTGCCAACAATCATAGCTTGCAATGCTAGTGTCAGTGGGTTCTGTCGTGCATTCTGTACACTCAACATGTTTCCCCCATGTTATGAGATCGTGTGACTCCCATTTTTCACAGTGGTCAAGAACACAGCAGAGAATCCCATGGTGCTTGGCAATATGGAAAACAGGGATCCACAGCTGCTTGTCAGTTTCAGGAAAGGTCTGGTCAATTTCAACAGTGGTTCCCCCTCCCCTTTGCCTGCATTCTTTTCTGTTCCCTTCATTCAATGAACAAACACTAAATGCCTGCGCAGAACCTGAACCACAAGGGTTTAAATGGAAGGTGCTCGCTGGATCCTAGTGCACAGCTGTGATAGGGCAATTGCATAATTTTTTAAAACTTTGGACGCCATACCCCACGTCACAAATCACATTCCACCCCGATTTAGAAAAGTGGGTTTTTAAAATTATTATTGTAGCTGCAGAATAAATACACCAGAGAAAAAAGAGTCACACATAAGGTAGGCACAGAATTCAAAGCTGGTTTTATAATTCTATGTAAGCCGCCCTGAGCCACTTCGGCGGGAGGGCGGGATAGAAGTCAAATAAATAAATAAGTCCAGATTAAAGGCTTACTGCTCTGAAATTCTGCAGTAAAATGTACGTGCTAATGGGCCTTATACAACAGTAGTATTATCACCTGTGGGCCTTTAGGCAGCTGGATTCTGAGGAGAAATGAGGAGTTGGATTCAGGTGGGAGATTTTTTTATATTAACAGAAATGTTGAGTGCTAATTAAAGGAACATTCTGATTAGTTGTATTTGTGGGGGTGATGGGGCCTTTAGTCCCTACAACTTTAAGGGGTCGTTAGGCAATGGGACCATCACCT